GTGGAATGAAATTTTTTTTGGATGATTAGAGAAAATAATTGATTAAAAATAATTCGAAGTAACAATAATATGAAATTACTAAGACATTAAGGATTCATTATCAGTGTTTTATTTGTAAAATATTTCTAATTCAATTTGTATAACTCAACTGAAGATCACACAAAAGGTGTTTTCAATCAGAAAATAAAATAGTTATTTTGAATAAAAAATATCTCAAAAAGATTCATTATTTTGATTGATTGATTACATAGTAAAAATCTAATTATTTGATTCACAGGGAATTCTAAGCTTCTACTGTGTTCGGAGTCTACGATAGAACAAATAATTTTATACAACAAAAACTTTACCCAAAAATATTTAAACTAATAAATCAATATAATCTTAACAATAAAAACTATGATTGAATCATAAAATAATTAAAAATAATTTATTGTGATTTCACCCTAATCTTAACAAAGAAAACTAGAACTCAATAAAAAAAAAAAAAAACTGTATTAAAAAAAACGACTGAATGAATGATAGCTCTCACAGTAGAGTTCATATACTTATAATAAAAAAAAAACCCTAAAAAATAATAAGAATATTCTGCGAAAGCCGGTTCGGCCGGATTTGGGGTGGCTGGTATGCGGGGTGCACATTAGTCACTGTTGTGCAGCTAATTTGGTCCATTTTGGGATCCATTTCGATAATCTAAACCGTTCACATTTTAAAATATATCAAATAGAATATACTTGCAAAAGATCAAGTTAATCGGATATCGTTTACCCTTTCATCCACTTACATTTGTATTCATTTTAATACTTTAAATCACAATTGTTATTTATTTTTGTAGATACAAATCTGAGTAGATGAATGTGTAAACGATATCCGATTAACTTAACTTTTTACAGATATGTTCTACTTGATGTATTGTAAAATGTGAACGGTTCAGATTATCGAAGTGAGCCATGAAATGAATCCATTTGACTATACAATAGTTCACCCCGCACAACAACCACCCCAAATCCAGTTCGGCCAAACACTCAGTTATTGATTAACAATTCCAACTCATTCATGTAGTTGTTTCCAACATTCTAAGTTGGCCCACATATTGAGTAAAATTTGCTCATCCTCATCTTTTCATTTATTTATCTTTTTGCCCATTATCACTTCAATTGTCATGTTTTCCTTACAAAGTAGAATCATTTTATTAAACACACAATCAACCATAAATTAAAGGGATTAATATAATAAAAGTGCAATAACATCTAAAACTATTAGAATAATTACACGTTTTTAAGCATTTATTACTAGAAACAGCTAGATTTTGATAGAGATAGATGAGAGTCTTCTGTGAAGTCCATGTTCTTCGTTGGAGTTTGTTTGTGACATTAGAAGTCTCTATTTTGTGATTGTGTCATGTATGGAAGGGGCATTAAGCTCCAAATTTGAAAGCTCTGGAATACAGAGCTCATTGAATGAGTGGAAAAAGTGAAATGGGAGTTACGAAGGAAAAGAGAGCTGAGGGAAATGGTGGTGGCATCACTAAAGAAAATAGGAAATGGGTGAGGTACTGTCGGTGAGAAGAGGAGATGATGGGGTCACTAGTAAGATGAAGGAAAACGAGTAAGGTTTGACCCAAGATAATAGAGTACATTTTACAATTGAAATGGTTGGTCAAGTTTGTTCATAATTTGTAATTGTGATTTGGTATGGTTGAGGTGACAAATAGATTTGCCATCAAGTTTAGAAGCCAAATGTAAACATGACATGTGTGTATAAAAAATTTCTATTAATCAGGTAAACAGAATGAGACAAATGGTTGAAATTGTGGTTAATTTAGAATATTAGGGTTTCAATTGATAAAATTAAAACTCTCACGTAGGTGTAGTTTGGGAAGTGGGTTGGCTTTTTGGCTTTTTTGACTATTTCAGCCTGGGGCTAAAATGCCTAGTTTGGAAAGGGCTTTTTTGACTTTTTGGTGAGGTGTCTTCATGTTAAAGGACCGAACTGCCCTTGAAGTAATTTTCACATTTCAACTCCTTGCCGTCCTTCCTCCATGTCAGCGTCATTGTATTGGTTTTTGTTTTTGTTTTTTTTTTACGTTTTGTCATTTTTATTTTTATTGGTATACATTAATTTGTTTTTATTTTTCAAAAATGGGTTTTCATGTGTTTTATTTATTTTTAAATTACGTGGCAAATGCTAATTTCTGTTTTTATTTTTTTATTTTTTTGGATGAGGCGTATTTTTGTGGTTCTTTTTTCTTTAATTTATGTTTTTGTCATTTTTTTTATTTGTACACATTAATTTGTTTTTATTTTTCAAAAATGGGTTTTTATGTGTTTTATTTATTTTTAAATTACGTGGCAAATCTTAATTTCTGTTTTTATTTTTTATTTTTTTGGATGAGGCATATTTTTGTGGTTCTTTTTTTTAATTTACGTTTTTGTCAGTTTTTTTTATTTGTATACATTAATTTGTTTTTATTTTTCAAAATTGGATTTTCGTGTGCTTTATTTATTTTTAAATTACGTGGCAAATGCTAATTTCTGCTTTTATTTTTTTGGATGAGGTGTATTTTTGTGGTTCTTTTGTTTTAATATACGTTTTTGTCATTTTTTTTATTTGTATACATTAATTTGTTTTTAGTTTTCAAAAATGATTTTTCATGTGTTTTCTTTATTTTTAAATTATGTGGCTACTGCTAATTTATGTTTAAATTTTTATTTTTTACTTTCTTTGTTTTTTTTGGGAAAAAGTTTTTTTCATGTAATTTATTTAAAATGATGTGAAAAATCATAATGTTTTGCCGTGGCACATGATATTTTGTGATGTCTCTTTTGGCTTTTTGTTGTTTTAAACTGGTCTTTTTATGTTTTTAATTGACGTAGCACATGATAATTTTTGAATTTGTTTTTTTTTTTCTTATTTGTTTGACCTTGTTTTTTTTTTCTTCTTCTCAAAAAAGCTTTTTTTTTTGTGGTTTTTGGTTTTTCAAAGTTAGGCACGTCACCAACTGAAAAGGGATTATATTCCCGTGTAAACACATACATATTGTACATGATAATATATTTGAATACAGTCTATTCCATGTGTGTTACCAATGTTAGAAGCCTACAAATATAAGGTGGACTGTTATATATTTCCTAACGTTCTGTTATTACGCATGTACACTAACTTGTCGCGTATGCGAAGTTGCACCAATGCCATATGCGGGTCCTCACCCCCAACCATTAAACCATCCTCGTCATGTTCAACTTCTGGTATGGCATTTACTATTGTCATAGCCTCTTCCTCGTCGCAGATTGGGTGAACAGTTGTTGGATTACCTGTATTTCGCCGTATATAATTATGTAATGCCATTGACGCACCTACTAACTGAACTTACACATTTGCAAAGTCATACCGAGGCATGTCTCTAATAAACCCCCATCGATTTTTCCAGGCACCGAAAGTGCGTTCCACCACACTGCGTAACGACGAGTGAACTTTTTAAATAATTCCCTTGGGGTTTTTGTTGTCCTGTTCCGTTGACTACTTCAGAATTGTTGTTGGTGGTAACGGCTGCCTTTGAAATATGCTAGGTAACCTACCCGGTTTGGATAGCTAGCATCGACAAGACAATATTTTTCTACAGACAGTACAAGAATTTATGACATGAAAATCGACATTGTGCTTTATTTTCAAGTAACGATGTTTGACGAAAAATTATACCGCCATCGATTTTTCAATGCAATGTGTTACCTTCTTCAGGATGTGGAAATGGGACATTGTCATTTGTTAGTATCTCGTTGAAGATGCAACTATCGTGCATACTTCCTTCTCATCCGTACGAAATGAAGATGAAACACATGTCAAAATCGCACGTGGCCATGATATTTTGCGTGTGACAGTATTTCCTAACGAAATATGTTGACGCATCTGGCCCTGTAACCCATGCACTTACATGTGTTTCGTCTATGGCTCCAATACAGTTCTGCCAACAACCCAATTGTATTGTTACTCTTACGGGTACATGTAATGGTTATTTTCATACGTCATGTTCACTTAAAAATAAAAACAAAATAACTAGACTTGGCACAAATAACTGGTGAGGTTTTCCAATAGTACCTTGAACGATAGGTATTTCCATTTAGACTGCACGTATGGATGTATACGATGCTGACTATATGTGGGTCGGCAATGAACAACAGTGAACTCTTTCATGGAAGTTAATATGTTATGCATGTGCCGAGACACAGTCTCTCCCGAATGTTGGAACCGTTCTTGGATTTCCCGATTTTGTATCCCTTTCAACACGTGGATAAACATTACAACGCTTTCTTCAACGGCTAAGCTATGTGGACGTTGCGGTACTTGCAACCCAAAATCATTTACTAATGTCTCACACAAAGCGGAAAAAACTTGCTTTGGCATGCAAACATTTTCCTTAAATCGACCTATATGGCCCGCATATAGTTCGGATATCCATGCATGCCTGGTCAATATAGAAGTATGACATGGCGTTTTAGCATGTGTTTTTCGTACCACTCTGTGACATACTGGCATGCTTGTAAAAATGTCCAGTAGTTTTGTTGTTGCAGCTGTACGGCCATTTGATTAAGCATTTCCCTTTAATCGTCATTGTTACTTCCATCCTAAGGATTCGTCATGTCTTGGTTATTGCGAAACCTACAACAGTGGCACGGTTTCAATTAGTTTGCACGTGATGCATTGACTCAAATGTAATAACAGTTTGCAATTACAGAATGCCGACATCTTTTTTAATGTAAAAAATTTGCGTCACCAATGGCATTACTAACGCATAACAGTAACATACAATTGCATGCACAATGATATGAATTAAACAAATAATGAACCTGGTCATAATTGTTTAGAGAGGGACCATTAACACGGCAATGGCATTACTAACACAACCACAAAAGATGACGCCAATCTAACATAACTGTTTCGCAAACAAAATAAATAAATACAAAAGCACCACACGTAGCCCATCGTTTCACATTTTATTTTTAATGTAAAATTCAAACACAACCATCCTATTCCATTCCAAAAAAACACACAACCATTCTTCCATCCTGAACTCGGACAAACATGCAAACCTTTGTTCACCATAGCTAGCAAAAAAAAAAAAAAATTGAAAAAAGTTTAAAACATGCACACACAACCATCCTGTTTTAGTACAGTTCCAACAATATCTTAAATAAAAGTTTTCCAAAGCAAGAGAAGGGTAGGCATCTTCAGCATTACATCGCTATATCACATCCGGCGAGCCCCAAACAGGTTCGCAAACGGCGCCGACGCAGTACACTGGAGCTGCTTTTATGTAAGCCACCCTATAATGTGGTTGTTATTAGGCTGGCACATCATTACCTCCCGATAATCTGCGTTATCCATAAGTGTCGAGGCGAAATGAAATAGTGGTGTACCAATAAGGGACGGAATATTCGTCAGGTGATGCATGCACTCCGAAATTGTGTACAGTGATTCGTTATCTGTGAGGTGGCTCACTGTAACTTGCTGATTCTGGGTACGAGCCACATTTGTTAGATTGTTCATGCTTTCCGCAATAACTGTCGCTCCACTTGTTGCCTTCTTCGACTTTGAAACACTTGTTGATGGCGTCTTTCTCCTTTTCCCCTTTTCAGTAGGAACAGGTTCGAGTGAAGAATCAGAATCCATGTCCTGTACTCTTGCGGGTATCGGATCAGCAAATGGCTGCGCTCCCAAACTGTGCACAGAATCAGATGAGTCATCGGCAGCTTCAGGAAGTTTCTCTCTCGGGGTTCAATGGTGCTTACCAGTAGCTGATGCCCCGGTAAAGACCGTATCCATCAAGTCACGATGTTCCAAAGTTTTTTTCCTGAACTTGGCACACACCTTGTTTATCTGCACAATTGGAGATTTATGAAAGAGTAAGACGTTACATTTCATATAACAAGTAATGCAGTTAATGAAAAAGGTTAAATTTACTGGTAACAGACAAATATGAAATGAAACAAACATGTACTTACTAATTCCATCTTGTCCCACCACTCCTCAGATGCCTGAAACATACTAGTTTCACTGTCAAACCCTATCCCTGACACTCCTTTGCTTGAATCCATCAACTTTGTCCACGCTTGCCACTCTTTTTTCAGATTCGTGTATTTATTCTTCAACTGTTTGAGGCCATGTTTTCTTCCTATTTTTTTCTCAAATTTCCTTGCCAACGACTTGTACCCTGCTTGGCTGATGACTAAGAATGGCCGATTTCCTTTTGTAATCTCATTTGCAATCAACTGCAGGAAAATTCAGATTGAGTAATTGTCCCATGAGGCCTTGTGGCTGAACTGATTCTGTGTCTTTTTAAGACTGCTTGACTTCTCTGTCACAATGCCTTTGCTTTTGGATTAGGTACGCGGAGAAGTACGTATGGAAGCCATTACCAACAACGACGCAGCTAACTAATGTACGGTTACAAAATATCACCATCACATATTTGGTTGTTATATACAAACGTATAATCCCATAGCAGAATAATTTAAATTGGTTGCATGATGCACAATCTATGCCCATGAATAATAAACAGACAAATAGGATGCTAAATTTGATAGCATATAACCATTGCACATTAATAAAATACATAAACAAACATGCAACTGAGCGGTGGACATAGTTATGATAGTCATTAATACGTCTACCCGTTCCTAGTGGAGGAACGCAAAGCAAGCTTATAGCCATACTAAAACATACTAACAACCTCCTAACGTTCCGCACATACTAACAACATCCTAACGTCCCTTAAATACGCAACAACAAAATGACAACGACAATGTATAGCATATACACAATGGATTGTTGAATGTGTATGACATCATCCCGCAATTGCATGACAATGTCGTTTCTGGATGACGCATAGTCTGTGTTCTATCGCCTTGGTTCTTCGCACCAACCAATGCAGTTGACACAGGGCTGATGAGTGCAAATGATGAAACTATTAGTCAATGGGTTCTTAATGTTCATGCAGTTATGACCAGTAATGAATTGGGCACTTAGCACAGGGCAGGGACATGCAAAGTAGGGACGTCCTGGATTTTTGGTGGACCTGGAAATCTTAACAATACAGGGGCCATGTCCACAGGCACACATTCGACGTGGCCATGTACTGAAAGTTACAGTAGAGGTAAACGAAGCCATGCTATGTTTGACAAACATTCGAAAGTAACAATGAATCATAGCAATAATTAGTTTATAATATCCATATTTCAGGTTAAACATGAATTGAATACGCTGATGCACAAGTTTCATAAGATGGGTATACAACCTCATTATTTTATTCATTTTTTTTAATATGTTATGTAGCTTACTAGTTCTGGTTTCACTGTCAACGTGTTAATAGAAAGGTAAAAGTAAATTTCAGATAAAAAAGCCATAAACACCGTGTGTTTACATGAATCAAATTAAGTCAATTAATTATAAATTATAAATTCATGATCAAATTAAATCAATTAAATTTACATGAATCAAAATGATAACGTACAAATACTACTGTCATAATTTACCATTAATGAAATTGATTTTTTAAAAGTATTATTCATCCATAGATTTGGATAGTGGTAAACTTATTTATTAATCCATATGCACTTGCACACATGGGATATATACAACCCAAAAAAACAATAATAATATAAATAAGCCATGAACACCGTGTGTTTACATGAATCAAATTAAAAATTCATGATCAAATTAAATCAATTAAATTTACATGAATCAAAATGGTAACGTAGAAATACTAATGTCGTAATTTACCATGAATGAAATTCATTTTTGAAAATTATTATTCATCCACGTTCTTCTATAGTGGTAAACTTCTTTTAAAATTTATTTTTTAAAAATTATTTTTAAAAATTATTATTAATTTTTTAAAATTTACGTTTTTCATCCACGTTCTTTTATCCATATGCACTTGCACACATGGGAGATATACAACCCAAAAACAATAATAATAATAATAAAAAGCCATGAACACCGTGTGTTTCCTATCGAGAAACAGTCGAGAGAGTGCAAAGGCTTCGAAATCAAGACACATTTGCATAAGCTCTTGGATAAGATTAGTCACCCACCCAAGAAGCTCTATATACACTGAGATCTCAGCAAACAGAATTCATGCAAAATTTTCTCAACACATGTCAAAAAGCTAATCTAATTTTTCTGCTTCTTCAAAACAACATAGATGTTTGTGCATATGAGGGAGAGAATGGGTTTAGTAATCTATCTTCATTAAATGAAGCCAACAAGGTTTGATAAAATATTTTCGTTAACACCTTTGCAATATAACACTTTCCTGTGTTGTTCATAACAACGTACAGCTGAGAAGCTCTCCTACAATATCAATAATATTCTCAATTTACTTCTCTTACATGTATATAAGAACAAATCAAGGAACATTTGGATAAACTCTGTCAATCTTGACAAGATTTCAATTTTTTTAAAGCAATAAACTACTTCATATCTATGTATTTCTCAATTTGTATCATAGATTGATCATAGATTTATATAAGAATAGATTTATATCTATCTATTTCTCAATTTACTTCCCTTACATTTATATAAGAACAAATCAAGAACAAATTTATATAAGAACAGATGTACATCTATCTATTTTTCAATTTACTTCTCAATTAAATCAAGAACAGATTGCTTTATCATGAACAGATTTATATAAGAACAAATCAAGAACAGATTTATATAAGAACAGATTTTTAAAGTACTTCATATGTATCTATTTCTCAATTTTTATCATGGGTTGATCATAGATTTATATAAGAACAGATTTATATCTATCTTTTCAATTTACTTCTCTTACATTTATATAACAACAGATCCAAATCGACTCTGACTTGGATGAAGCCAAAAGTCTCAACTTCAAATAACCGTAATGACCATGGATATGGAAATGTCATGATCTGCATTGAATTATCTTCCTTAGCAAAGATAATTATTGAAAAAAAAGGGATGACAAATTTGAACAGAGCACTGTAATTCTCTGTTGTAGCAAACAGAGCACTATAACATTCTAATAATAATAGACCAATACATTAATTTGATAGACCACTCTAATTCTGTAATTTACTTTCTCTTCGAAACCCTATTTTCATCGGTGGGTGTTATTGGCCCATTTTGCAGAGTAGTGTACAAAACATAAAAATTGAAGAGTATACAAACAATCTGAAATTGGAAATATTTGACTTGATTTGAGAAGTAAAACCAAAAATCCATTTCCCAATTTTGTGTGTATCTGTGAAACCTTCAAAGTCTTCACATTGGGCAGTGGGTTTCCCACATGACAAACAAAAACTAGAGTCCACACAAATTTTAAAAAAAAAATTTGTAATCACCCACTGAAAGGGATTTGATAGATGAACCCAAGCAGATCGGGATGCAGGGGACGTATTTACGCGAAAAAGGAAACGAAATCAAAACTGAAACAAGCATTACTTGAAGATTGGTGGTGTTTGAGACGGTGAGTTATTGTTCGACTCCGTAGATGTACGCCTCAACCGTTCGATTTTGGCAAGGTTCGCGAGTCTTCTTCGACGCCGCATATGTGTACTTCGGTACCGATCGGCTCTGGCAAGCTTCGTCAGATGTCTTCGCCGTTGAGGGTCTCCAAATCACCTCCGTCACTTCACCCTTTTTGTGTGCCCTAGAAAATGTGTTGTGTGTGTGGTGAGGCGATGGCCCTCTTAATCAGAGGAGTGAGTGGGGGTAGTTTGGTAAATCTACCGTGGCATGGGTTGTTGCCACGCATGTGCTTGACTTTTGTCTCCATTTGGCTAATTTAACCTTTTTTGTTCGCTAGTGGCTAAAATAACCCCAATTTGCCTTGCCAAACAGAGGCTTAATTTGTCATGTGGGTCAAACTTTAAGTGTTTTTTTTTTTTTTTTTTTTTTTTTTTCAATGATTCATAACTCTAAATTTGGAGCTTTAAGAGCATCTCCATCATACACATCAAATCCCTCTCTTTAAGGGGATAGTTAAAAAAAAAGCTTGTTAGGCATTTTAGTCAATGTAACTCTAATTTTGAGTTCTAATGGATTGGCTATTGGGCTAGCTACTTTACCATTTTACTTTTTTGGTGGCTACAATTGAAGAGCCCCAGAGGCTCTCTAAACAAATATGTATGTATATATCTTGAATTTTTGTATAGTTATGTCTTTGATTTGAGATTTTATATATTTTATATATGTATATGTGTATCTAGCAATTTTATATGTTCTTTCAATTCTGTTTGATGAATTACGGAATAATTTATTTTGTATTTTGTATTTTTTTTCTCCTCATTCTATAGGTTTTGTATGTTTGTATGGGCAAATTTATTATTATTGCAAATTTATATTAGTAAAATATCAGTAATTATTATTTCTTTGTTTTAAAAATTAATTAAGTTAGTTTGATTGATTAGCTAAAATAAAGAGTGTGATTGAAGAACACAATAACTAAAGTAATTAGGTAAAATAAAGAGTGTACTTTTTTTTGTACTTTAACTAGTGAAAAGTAGAGAGTGTGGTTGGAGTTAGTACTATTTTGCTAAGAAAATTCACTAAACAAATACTCCATCAAGCTAGCCTTTCCAGTTGCCAAATCTTTTGAGCCCCAAATCCTCCCCACAAGTAGCTAGCCATCAAGCCTCAACAAATATATTTAAATAATAAAATATTAGACAAGCATTACACAACTATTCTTTTGAAATTTAATTTTGTTCACATATTTGGTAACTGTATGAACCAACTCTTTTATTACTTAAACTAAGGGGGTATTTTAAATGGTCAAGTGTATGAACAAAATAGTTTTTCTAATACAAAATTGTAAGCTTATTGAAAAACAAAGAATGAATTAAAAAAAATAAAAATAGATTGAAGTGGATAAAAAATAGAGATGAAGTGATATTATTCACATTAGAAAAATATGAACATTAAAAAAAAAAAAACACATTGAAAGAGAGTGGGTTTAAAAATATCCAATCAAAAGTTGAACTATTGAAAAATGTTAGTTTAAAAAATATGAATGTTAGAAAAAAAAAAACATTAAAGAAATAATAAAATAAAAATATTTAAATAAAATAGAAAAAGAATAGAGAGTTTGATGGGGAATATATTTAAAAAAGTGATTAGCTAAAATAGAAAAGTTACTTTTTAGTTAAAATTTGACAAAAAATTTGACTATTTTGATAAAGATGCTCTAACAGTGGCATTAATGATGTGGCATTGAGCAAAAAAAAAAAAAAGACACATACATCAAATCATTCATAAGTAAGAAGTAGAGCTTTTATTAGAACTCTACTTTTTAAACATTTTTGTTTTATAATTATCCTTTTCAAGGATTAATCCTTCTTAAATTGATGTACAAATGTGTTTTTTTTGTAATTTTCAAATTATTTGGCCTAAAAAACACCCGACTTTATATAAATATGTAAGGGTAAAAAGTTAATCTTATTTCCCTCAATAATATTGAGAGTTTGTCTTTATATAAGAAAAATTTAATATACACGCATTGTAAAAAGAATGTACTATAAAATTTTAATTATGTTATTTCCTATTTTAATTATAATTATTATTTTTTAATTATGCCGTATAAATTATATTATGTTTTCTCTAGTTATATCTCGATTATGTTTAATTATAATATTTTTTTTAAAGTATAATTCATAAAATTAAAGCTATACCATTTTTTTTAAATTAGAAGTTGCAGGTGTATATTGTTTCCGTTTATATATTTGTTGTAAATTGGAGAAAACTTTATGCGTCCACAGAATCGATTTATACGGTGTATTTCGTTGAATCACGAATTTATAAACAAAAAAAAACCAAATCCAATCTATAAATTCAGATTTCTCGAATTTCCGAATCTCGTTGTACACCGCTTGTAGTAGCTACTGGATAGTCACACAAATTCTGTGGAAGCAGAGGCGAGGTTTAGTGTTGAATTTTGGGTTCTCTCTCTCTCTCTCTCTCTCTCTCTCAATTGAGTTTAGGGCAAACAACGAGGTACGTAAAGGGTTCTTAGTTTTGATCATCTAATTCAGCTCTGTTTATTTTCTCTTTTGATCTTCTCTTCGTTGATTTGGGTTTGTTTAACTGTAATCAGGGTATTCTTTCAATTCATTTATTTTTATTTTTATTATTCATTTGCTTTTTTAACTTTAGTTTTCAATTCAATTCAATTTCCTGATCAATATTGGCAATATCTGATTTTCATACTCAAATTATGTTCCAATTTTATTTTTTTGCGTTCAATATGAATCCCAATAAATTGAGAATGTAAAAGTTTCAACTCTCCCACATACTCATGGGTTTTTTTTTTTTTTGTGTGTGTGTGTGGAATTGTTGAGTTTGCTGAATGTTTGTGGTAATGTATTGGACCATTGCACATAACTGAATATTCACTTTGATTGAAAAAAATAAGTAAAAATTCCAATTGCATTGAACCTCTTTCCCGTATTTGGCATAAACCATGGTTTTATATATGAATTTTCTTGGGAGCCAAACACAGATTGGTAGGCAATGTAACGTGGGTTGGGTTTCCTTTTCCCCGAAATGGAATGGAAGAGAATGTAGTTCTAGCCCCCCCATTGGATACCCTTATGGCAGTCACGTAGGTCATTTTATTATTATAGTGAGATTGACATCAATGGCTAATGATTTCAATATGCACCCAGAATACTCTTTTCTTGTTGAAACTTTTCCATTTTATTTGTTTTGCCAAGTGAAAAATTATTCAATTATTTCGAAGCATCATCATGACTTGTCTGCGTAATCTTTTTTTTTTTTTGGTGAGAAACCTTAGTGGAGTAGAAGAAACATTGTAACACTGACTTAGGTCCTTTTAATAGTGAGAAATCTCAATGTGAAAACAAACTTTAGTTTCTCCAAATTGGCTAGGACTACATTTTAAAGCCATTCATGTCAATTAGGCCCTGAATCAGGAACCCATTATGACCCAATAAAGGAAAAGAGAAGAAAAGAAGATTGTGTTCTTTTAACATCATGACATCAATTACCTCTTTATTCTTCTTCCATAATTTTTTATTTTTCATTATGATGAAGTGATGAATTTGAGTTACATTTTAGTTTGCTGGTCTCTTTCATATTATGATGTAGGACTACTTACTGGCTGTGCAACCTAAGTGAAAGTAAATTATGGGCTATATTGTGATATCGTTGCCGGTGATTTTGTTGTTCTTGATCATAGCTATCGCGGCTTACCTTTTCGGTAGGGCCAGAGGTCGTACTGAAGCAACAGGAGTTCCCCAGTATTATGGCCCTCCGGCTCCCCCATTCGGAGTTCAATCTCATGACCCCCAGAAATAGGGTTTGCACAAGTTGAGTAGTTGTATATACCTTGATACGAAAATGGACTAGTAGCTAGAAATAAGGTCACATTTGATTTGGGATAAATGGGCAGAATAGGACTATTTCATCCTGGTATAAAACTATTTCCCATTAGATTTTATGACCCAAGGGCCATTTATCCTGTATATGTGGATTATGGGAGCTTCTATTTGCACACATAATATACACTTTTTGCACATCCTCTGTACTACACTTTTTGTACATCCTCTTCATTAAGTGTGTGTATAGAGTGCGTAAATAGAAGCTCCCGTGGATTATTGTCCCAGAGAAAAATTTTATTGCAAAATACCTAAAATATCCTTGCTGAAATATCTTATCCTACCGCATCATCATAACTGCGAATCAAACATAGCCTACCAGAACTTCCTTGTCATAATGTATAGTCTTTGGGGATTGCATCATTGGTGTGTAATGGACTAGGATTGTAATTTAGTGTAAGTTTTTAAATAAATTGTAAATCAGTGATAAAGTTTACTATTTAATAATTGAAATGATCTGCTTTTTCATGATTTTACATTTTTTTTTTTGATCTGACCACTGATGATTTGCAATTTCCCCATTCGGCTGGTAAATTGCTTTGGCCTGCGAGTGTTACATATGTGACATGACTCAGTTGTGATTGCATTTGATTATTGTCGGCCTACTTCAACTTATTCAAATTTTCTCAGCAACGGATAAGTGTTGGTGTAATCTTTTTCTCTTTTTTTATATATTAAATTATGATTGGTTTATTATTCTGCTCTCCCAGGCAAACTAAACCGAACAAAAACATTTTTTTGGTTACCTAAAAAGAAAATGTTTGGGACCCACAAAGGAGGATTCCCGGATTCCCATGATCCCTATTAATGTATTGATCATTAATGTGTTTGAATTTTTTTATTTTTTTTTAATCTTTGACAGTGACATGAATGGTTCAGATCATTTTAGAAGTTGAGTAAAAAATCTCACCAACCAAGCTTTTGATCCGGGGATAGGCTCTGTTTTATATTTTCATCTCTATAAAACAAAAAAAAAAAAATCTCTATACTTTTTATTTTTTGTTTTTATATTATTTTTATATTTCAATTTGGACTCGTTTTGATAATTTGAACTGTGTATCTCGTAAGTTTTGTAATAAATGTCAGCTATTAAAAAAAATAAGTTTTATTGAAAAATTATAAACACCGGAACAAAAAATATTTTATTTTATTAAGTTTATGGTTTAAATTTACAATCAGATATGTTGTTCATTTTATAAAATAAAATGTAATTTTTTCTTTAGTTTATAATTTTTCAATGAAATTGATTTTTTTTTTTGGGTAAATTACATTTACCTCCCCTGAGGTTTCTGACAAATACAGTGACCTCCCCTGTGGTTTGAATAATTACAGTAACCTCCCCTACTTTACCTGACAATATCAAGATTCTCCCCTGCTGTCAAAAATCACTAAATGGTGTCACTTTTTCCTTCAGAAATTACTCTATTGCCCTTCCTTTTAAAAATATTAAAAAATGTTTTTGGATTGGAGGATAAGTTTAGAGTGTTTGGAACAGTATTTTTAGATTTATTTTTTAAAAATATTAAAAAAATGTTTTAAAAAAAATTATTTTTATTTTAAATATATAATTTTTATTTAGATATTTTATTTTAGTTTGTAAAAATTTTAATTTTTTAATTTTAATATTTTAAATTCAAAACACAATTCCACACTCAAATTGTAACCAAACACATAACTCAAAACTCAATTCAAAAATTATTTTCAAACCTCATAACTAAACACATAACTCAACACTCCACACTACTTTCAAAACTCTACATTCAAATCGTAACCAAACGCATAACAAAAAAATAAAATATTTAAAAATATATTTATAAAATAAAAAAAATATTTAAAATAAAAACTATATATTTAAAATAAAAAAATTAAATTTTTTTATATTTTAAAAATATTTTTGAAAAATACAACACACAAATGTATGAAATATAGCGCACATTAAAATAAATAAATAAATATTTAAAATATTTACCCTAAAAAAATAAATCTAAAAAATTTCAAAATACAACTCAAAACTCAAAATATAAGTCAACACTTTTTTTAAAACTCATAACCAAATAAATTTTTTATTTTCAAAACTCAACTCAAAACTCAAAATACGACTTCACATTCAAATCATAATTCTAAAAATAATTTTAAAAAACAAAATTATAAAAAAAAAATTAAATAGAGTTTTGAGAAAAGTTTGGTTTTTATGTGTTTAGTTATGAGTTTTGAAAATAATTTTTTAATTGAGTTTTGAGGAGTTTTGCATTGTGTGTTTAGTTATGAATTTTGAAAAAAAAATTGAATTTTGAGTTATATTTTGAAATTTTTTAGATTTATTTCTTAATTTTATTTTTTTAAGGTAAATATTTTTTATTGTAAATGTTTATTCTTTCAATGTGTGTTGTGTTTACTACATTTGTGAGCTGTATTGTTTAAATATTTTTATTTTTTATTTTACATATATAATTTTTATTTTAAATAAATTTTTATTTTTTATTTTTAATATTTTATTTTATTTTTAAAATATTTTAATTTTTTGAATAGTTATTTATTTATTTTTTACATATTTATTTTTTTAAAAAAAATTAAAATTTTTGATCGTCCATATATATCTAAATCATAACAAATTATTTGGCCAATACTTTAAAAAATAACAAAAATTATTTTTCAAAAAAAAAATAAAAACAATATTTATATATTTAAAATAAAAAAAATTTAAAACTTTTTTTAATATTTTAAAAAAATAAATCCAAAAATATTGTTCCAAACACTCCAAACCTATCCTCCAATTGAAAAACATTTTTTAATATTTTCAAGGGAAGGACAATAAGGTAATTTCTTAAGGAAAAAGTAACACCATTTAATGATTTTTGACAGCAGGGAAATCTTGATATTGTCAAGTAAAACAGGGGAGGTTACTGTAATTATTCAAACTACAGGGAAGGTCCCTGTATTTGTCAGAAACCTCAGGGGAGGTAAATGTAATTTACCTTTTTTTTTTTTTTTTTTTTTTTGTATAGATGACCTTTGTAATGAAGTTTACGAGATTGACTATTTGGATTATTGGTGTAAGTCTAAATTAAGACTTACAAAAAGAAATACGAAGAGAAATAAAGAGATGAAGGTATGAAGGAGAGGTTATCCCCTGAATTGTTTTGTTGGTAAATAAGCTGAAAATCTGACCAAGTGAAAAGTAGTCTTTTTACTTGGCTAAAACAACCAAACTTAGTTTTTAAGGATTTGAAATTGATATTTGGATTATGTTTAGGTATTTTGTAATACTAGTGGAGGTGCACGTATTGCAAGAATTTTTCTTATATTTATTTTTGTGTTTTTTTAATTTTTAATTTTAGCTTTTATAATAGTTTTACCATTTTAACCAATATGGTTTTTTTTTTAATTTATTATTATTTATTTTTAATATTTAATGTTTAATGTTTAAGTTTAAAAGTCCAAAAAGTGTTTTAATTTTTCAATATTTTATCTTTGACATATTTTTGTATTTTTAGGTAGTATTTGGTTATATAAAATGATTGTATAATGAATTTAATATTATTACACAATATATGTATTTTTATTTATTTAAATTATACACATCACGCATGTGAACGACTAGTATGAATAACATAAATATATAAATTTATGTATGGTAATTCCCACATATGCCTTATTTGTGTGATGGGATTCAAACTATTTGTGTGGTGGGACTCAAACTATGGATACGACTCCATGTCCATTCTATGGAGTCGTCTATTATTTGGTTGAAAATTGGTGATCAAATTGGTAGTCTAACCAGATTTCATGTCTTTCATATGTGAGATTATTTTGTCAATTGAAAACAATAATATATCTATTCCTACGTATGAGGGGGCATTGAATGTATGATAAAAGAATAAAAATTAGTATAAACATTTCACATATTATCTCATATTTTTATATTTCATTTTAAGCATTAAAATTTAAAAGTAGATTGAAACCAATCACATAAAATAATTGTAGTTCATATTACATTGTTGAACTTATTACTATTAAATATATAATTTACCGGGTTGTTTTATTTTTGTTATGTGTATGTATATAAAAACCACTTGGTAATTAAAAGGTGAAGAATTAAAACGCCCAACTAAAATTGTAATATTATTATTATTTAAGGTGAAAAAATAAAACATACAACTAACATTAATATTATTACTATTATTATTTTGAAATAAAATAAGTAAAGGAAATTGAAAGATAAAATATTTTTACAAGCTTCATTTATTTTCTAGTTTGATCCACTTTGTGGTTAAACTTTGGGAATTTGTTTTATTGCTATTTTTCATTTCATATTGATCTTTGCCATTTTGTACTTTTTCTGCTGTAATCTTTATCGATGTGCGATCCTTTTCATTTATTTTGTCTAGCCATGTAATAAATATATATGTACGTCCAGCAAGAAGTTTTAGTGCATTGTAAAATTTGTTATTCTTGCCTTCATATAATAACAATAATAATAGTATAGTTTTAAATTAACTTCTTTCCTTTGCTATGTTAGTATGTTGCAGATGTGACACTATTTATGCGTTTGGTAAACTTATCTTTTCTTTGGATGCTATGAATTCAGTTGTTGGATATCCAATAATTTTCTTAGCCTCTTCAAATAATGTGACATACAGTTGTCTTTTTCTATCTCCCATTAGCAAACAAAAATGTACAATATGAAGGAGAAAAATAGGTTTTAGCAAAATCAAGTTTGACCACCTGCTTATGAACGCGAAGGGGATACTTACGGTTAGCCAAATCAGGGTCATCAAAAGTAGGATGATCAACAGCAGGGGCAGAGACAACTGGTGGAGGGAGAGCCTTGCGCCGAGAATAGATTAACAACGGAGGAGGAGAATGAGTAGGCAGGGGAGGAGGTGGAGAGGAGGTGGAGAAGATGAAACAGACTCATGGGGTACAGTAGAGAGGGACTTAGCAGAAGGTGTAGCAAGATGAGAAGAAGGAACAAGTTCATAGGGAACAGTAGAGATGTATTCATCAAGAGGGACCTCAGAAGAAATGGATCAATATGAACCAAATCTTCTTTAGAAACCGGAGTAGTGAGAGGAGGAAGCTGAAAGTAAGCTAGACGCTTTAGGAAGGCAACGTGGTGAGAGACATAAAGGCGGCAGGAAAGAGGATCGTAACAACGATAGTCTTTCTGAGTAATATTGTATCCCAAAAAGACACACAGGATAGACCGGGCACTAAGTTTTGTCCTATCTTTTCGGGAAAGAAGGACAAAACATACAAACCCAAAAACACGACGGAGGGAGTAATTAAGGAGTTAGGAAAATAGAGCCTCATAAGGAGAACGACTAGAGAGTAGGAGGGTAGGCATACGGTCGAGAAGTAAAGTAGTTGTAAGAATGGCTTCCCCTCTAAAAGGGAGCCGGAACAGAGGCAGAAAGAATGAGAGATCTAGTTGTCTTAAGGAGATGACGGTGTTTACGCTCAATACGACCATTTT